AGAGATTAGTGCTAAAACTAGAGGATCAGGTACATAAAACAGGAAGGGCGCTGCAATGGATCAGAGAATACCTGACAGGGAGGCAACAACGAGTCATGGAACGTGACGAGGTATCAGAACAGGCGCCTGTGACGAGCGGGGTGCCACAGGGGTTAGTCCTAGGACCAGTGCTATTTTTTGGTATATATGAATGACATAACGGAAGGGATAGACTCAGAAGTGTCCTTGTTTGCAGATGATGTGAAGTTAATGAGAATTAAATCGGAAGAGGATCAGGCAGGACTACAAAGAACTCTGGACAAGCTGGAAGCATGGTCCAGCAACTGGAAAGGCAAAGAAGACCGCAGACAGAGTATAGGCTATGTGGCCAAAGACTGCAAACCTCATTCAAGGAAAAGGATCTTGGGGTGAGTATAATACCGAGCACATCAACCAGATAACTGCTGCAGCATATGGGCGCCTGGCAAACCTGAGAATAGCGTTCCGATACCTTAGCAAGGAATCGTTCAAGACTGTAAACCGTGTACGTTAGGCCCATACTGGAGTATGCAGCACCAGTTTGGAACCTACACCTGGTCAAGCACGTCAAGAATTAGAGAAAGTGCAAAGGTTTGCAACAAGTCTAGTTCCAGAGCTAATGGGAATGTCCTACAAAGAAAGGTTAAGGGAAATCGGCCTGACGACACTGGAGGACAGAAGGGTTAGGGGAGACATGATAGCGACATACAAAATACTGCGAGGAATTGACGAGGTGGACAGAGACAGGATGTTCCAGAGATGGAACACAGAAACAAAGGGTCACAATTGGAAGTTGAAGACTCGGATGAGTCAAAGAGATGTTAGGAAGTATTTCTTTAGGCATAGAGTTGTCAGGAAGTGGAATAGTCTAGCAAGTGATGTAGTTGAGGCAGGAAGCACATAGCTTTAAGACGAGGTATGATAAAGCTCATGGAGGAAAGAGGGCCTAGTAGTAATGAGTGAAGAGGCGGGGCCAGGAGCTATGTCTCGACCCCTACAACCACAAATAGATGAGTACACACACACACACACACACACACACACACACACACACACACACACACACACACATTTATATATGCAGCAGCCTCACTACGCATATCCAAAATTTCAAAGGGCAAAGCATTCATGTATGTATATATATATATATATATATATATATATATATATATATATATATTATATATATATATATATATATATATATACACACACATATATACATATATATTTTTCCCCTGTTCCCAGCTCCACATTACGCACGCCATAAAAGTGTTGCCAGCTACAACTCCGGCGGTGACCACAATCCGCCCCCTCTCTCCCCTTCACTCAACGCCATCCAATCGCAGAGAGTTTCCGACCTGTGCTGGCAACATTTTCAACTCGTCCGAAAGCCATGATGAATGACCAGGCCTCCGCCTGGTGCCCGGGTGGTGATGAATATTCAAACACCAACAACAGGCTTGATGAAGGCAGGAGATGAAAGTGATATAACTCTTTGTTGTGCAGCAGAGCGAACAACTGTGCCCCCTGGTACCCTTGGTATTTTAATACCCACACCATCGCCCCACCAGGGTGGAGGGTTCAAATAAAAAAAAAACCACCTCGCGTATTTTTACCACATTCGTCTGATGATGTCGACTCTTGGCCAGCGATGATGTTCCGATACCGGCATTCCTTCCAGCGGGGTACCCGCTTTCAGCACCAAAAAAAATATAAACAGAGAAATTCCAGGGACAAAGCAGAATTAGCAGTGTGCTGATGTGAAATTTAATTAAAAGTGAATGTCATTGGTTCATCGTTATTCAACTGGATACGGGTTTCAGTGTTGTCTAAAGTACATTAATTCCGGGTCCTTGTGTGATGTGTGTAAATGTAAGCTAGTATAAGGTGTTTTAATTCTGGCAGCCGGTGAGGATTCGGTAAGTGTGAGCTGATATAATTATAGTGTTTTAATTTGTGGTATACATTGCATTAATACCAAGTGCTGGTATGGTGCCAGGCACTGTGAGCCAGGGTAACTGTAACCAATACCACTGGTTATGTAACTTATCTCTAACATAGAAACTCGTTATATTACATAAGGTCATGATAATTAAACTGCTACTACAACTAATACCAGTACTACTATAACTACTACTACTGTTACTAATGCTGCTGCTGCTGCTGCTGCTGCTGCTGCTGCTGCTGCTGCTGCTGCTGCTGCTGCTGCTGCTGCTGCTACTACTACTACTGTGACGTGTCAACAGATTATGTTATTAAGTTTTTATATTCCTTCCTCCTTAGGGTTGTATACATGATACAAAAAAAATTATGAGGAAGGTAGTGATAAAATTAACCTCGGACAATAAAAATCATTGGAAAGTAAGTGATAAAGTGACGCCACAGTGTGACAGGCAAGTGATGAGCCAGGCACATCAGACACCCATCTTTATACCATACGTAGATGAAAACACATGCACCGTTCAAGACATTTATCGAGGAAACGTTTCGCCACTAGTGACTTCTTCTGTTGTGGTCATAGTACTGAAGACGCCACTTATGAGTAAAACATTTCCTCAGTAAATATCTTGAACGGTGTATGTGTGTCTTACTGGATATACTGTAGGTATCAGTATATTATTCCAGTTATGTAGAAAAAATCATCAGGAGAAGAGTGGTGGAGCACCTAGAAAGGAATGAGGCAAAAGAGGGTCGGGAATACTGATTTTTAGGGGTGGGTGTAAATAAAGTCGGTGACAATGAAGGTACTGAGACACTCCATCACCGAAATAGAACAAATGTTCAGATACATAAGAACATAAATTAGACATACTCAACACTTGGGGATCTTTATTTTGTTGACGTTCCGCCGACCAGTGGTTTTATCAGTACATTACAGGGTCACAAACCAAAGACTGTAGAAGATGAGGTAATCAGTCCCTCGTGGATTGCATCGTCTTTACACTGTTCTGCTGCCTTCTCTCTATTCGACTAAAGAAGCCTACTGTGTAGGCGAAACGTTTCGGAATAAAGATACCTAACTGTTGCACATGTGTCTTATTACAAACTACACATATTTACAGCGCAAATACACCCGCTTCACGAGTTCCATCCCAGTCTCTGAACCTTTGTGGCTCTTCATACTGTCGTAAGAAAACAGCAAATGTAAGGAAAGTACGAGGACAAAAATATAGTACAAAGACAAAATTTTCACTTTTTTTTTTTTTTCTCTCTCGATCATTTTTAGGACACTCGAGATGCTTTACTCTTGATGCAGGCGACCTCACAGGTATGGGAAAATAAACGTGATAGTTTCTATGCGGAACATAGATGTAAGTCTGGCATGAAATATTCAACACATTTATCCCACCAAATGCCGTATATATAACAAGAAAATGGGTAGGCTTTATAATCTGCCATGCTTTACTACTACTACTACTACTACTACTACTACTACTACTACTACTACTACTACCACCACCACCACCACCGCTACTACTGCTGCTACTACTACTAATTTCACTTTAGATGCCTCGACACTCAGAGGTTGCTAGCTGTGGTCTTCGGGGAAACCTGGATAATATCAACCAGTAATATTTTAATTTCTAAAACAGAAATCAAAGGTAACTCTCAGAGCACATACAAAGTGAGATAAACGCCCATCAGTCTACGTAAACCATTTTCCTTACTTCTCCAATTATTATTATTAATATTACTTGTATTACTACTGCTACTACTATTACTACTACTACTACTTTTACTACTAATACTACTATTACTACTAATACTACTATTACTACTACTACTATTACTACTACTATTACTACTACTACTATTACTACTATTACTACTACTATTACTACTATTACTACTACTACTACTACTATTACTACTACTATTACTACTACTATTACTACTACTGTTACTACTACTACTACTATTACTACTACTATTACTACTATTACTACTACTATTACTACTACTATTACTACTACTACTACTATTACTACTACTACTATTACTACTACTACTACTACTACTACTACTACTACTATTACTACTACTACTATTACTACTACTATTACTACTACTACTACTACTACTACTATTACTAGTACTACTAGTAGTAATAATGTAGATGAAGGTGAGTCAGTATTAATATTGGTGTTATGAAAGGCTTCATACCAGACACTGGCGCTTTTATCATTCACTTCAGTGAAATATGAGCAAATAGCAGTGGATGATTTCTTTTAATTAATCAAAGCGCGACGAAACTAAAGGCGAAATAAATATAAATTAATAGAATATATCCGCACTGTGATCAAAGATATATATATATATATATATATATATATATATATATATATATTATATATATATATATATATTGTGTGTGTGTGTGTTTGGTAAGACACATGCAACGGTTAGGTATCTATATATCGAAACGAATCGCCTATACAGTAGACTTCTTCAGTCGAATACAGAGAAGTTAGTAGAAGCAGAAGATATGTGAAGACGATATAATCAGTCCATCACCCTTGAAGACGTAGTTTTGAGGTGGTCAGTCCCTCAGCCGGGAGAAGAGTATTTGTTCCACTGTCAGAAACAGTGTGAAGTTGAAGTGACAGTATGGAGACTTATATTCTGTCAGGAGGTGAGATGTAGCCCACTAGTAGAAGCAAAAATGTAATCATTGAGAGGTCAGGTCCCTGTCAAAATCCAACTGTTCTCACTTGTAGAGAATGGTTGTGTGTGTGTGTGTGTGTGTGTGTGTGTGTGTGTTAACACAGCTCTGGGCTTAAAGTTTAGCTGGTATTCAATAATGAAGCAACGCAACCACTTGTCTGCGTGGGTTGTTAATACTGCCAACACCACTGTCACTAACTCCACGACTATCACCACCACTACCACTGTCACCATCACCACTGCCACTGCTGTCACAATCACCACCTCGGCTGACACAACCAGTACCACCACTGTCACAACACTACCGTTATCACCACTACCGGTTTCACAACATCACCGTTATCACCACTACTGCTTTCACAACATCACCGTTATCACCACTACTGCTTTCACAACATCACCGTTATCACCACCACCGCTGTCACAACACAACCGCTATCACCATCACCGCTGTCACAACACAACCGCTATCACCAACACCGCTTTCACGACACCACCGATATCACCAACACTGCTGTCACAACACCACCGCTATCACCAACACCGCTGTCACAACACCACCGCTATCACCAACACCGCTGTCACAACACCGCTGTCACAACACCATCGGTATCACCAACACCGCTGTCACAACACCACCGCTATCACCAACACCGCTGTCACAACACCACCGCTTTCACCAATACCGCTGTCACAACACCACCGCTATCACCAACACCGCTGTCACAACACCGCTGTCACAACACCATTGGTATCACCAACACCGCTGTCACAACACAACCACTATCACCAACACCGCTGTCACAACACCGCTATCACCAACACCGCTGTCACTGCACCTCCGCAACAACAGCAACAGCTGCTGCTGCTCTGCATTCTGTGGTTCCGAATTAATAATTAATTTCGTCAATAGACCCCATTTAAACCATGCCAGTATAAAGCGCGATAAACCATGAATGATCCATGATATAACGTGCAAAATGTAGAAGAATAAACACAGCTAAACCAAAGCAATAATTTTGATAAACCACAGCTTAGCCATGATAGTAACTCGGATTGATAAACTACAGATTAGACAAGGGAAACAGAGATAAACCCGAAGCAACAGTGATAAACCAGAGGCAACAGTGATAAATCATAATATTAAACCTTTTAAACCGACGTTTGATCTACTTCACATGTTCAATAGCTTGTCTTGCTACATCGATACCAAAAAAAAAAAAACCTGGTGACTTATTTACGTTCATTTCATTCCTGAAAAGGTCAGTACCTGATCACCCGGGTTGTAGTTCGTACGTCGGTTTGCGTGCGGCCAGCAGTAACAGCCTGGTTGATCAGGCCCTGATCCTCCACGAGGCCTGGTCATGGACCGGGCCGAAGGGGTGTTGACCCCCGGAACACCCTCCAGGTATACTCCAGGTAAGTATTCATTAATTCATTATAAACACCTGTGAGTGAGTACTCGGTATATATATAAAAATCTTTCGAATCCTCGGTGTACACAGACATAGTGTCTACTCAGCATTTATAGAAATCTTGTGGATATTCTCAATAATACACAAAACTGTCGATTATTCTGTATTTACAAAAATCCTGTGAATCCTCAGTGTATGCAAAAATGTATGAATACTCGGCTTTTACAAAAATCTTCTGAATCCACGGTATATACACAAGTCCTCCGAATAAACGGTATATACACAAGTCCTCCGAATACACGGTATATACACAAGTCCTCCGAATGCACAATATATACATATGTCCTTCGAATACACGGTATATACACAGGTCCTCCGAATGCACGATATATACACAGGTCCTCTGAATGCACGATATATACACAGGTCCTCCGAATACCGGGTATTTACAAAAATCCACTAGACAGTATATGTACAAAAATTCATATGAATATAAGATAAATACCAAAATTCTCCGAATTCTCATATACACAAAAAGTGAATATTGACAATAAAAATATCCTGGGTGTTCGTCGCTGGTAAACAGTGACCCGTGTAACGACCGAACCATTGTAAACATACTTAATATATAACTTTCTTCTCCCAACTCAGGTCTATATCATGTTTGTCTGCACACTTAAGTCGCTGCTTAGGGCATATTCTATGAATATCCGGTATATACAAAAGTCCTCTGACTTCCTGGCATATAGAAAATCTTCAGTATATACAAAATCTTCCAAATAGTCCGTATATACAAAAATCCTCTGATTGCTATCGATATAGAAAAAAATGCTTCCTGTGGGTACTCGATATATACAAAACTCCTCTCACTACTTGGTTTATACAAAAATACTTTGAATACTCTATATATACATAAATCCTCTGAATATTTGGTATAAACAAAAATCCTACCAATATTCGGTATAATTATACACACACACACACACACATACACACTATATAATATATATATATATATATATATATATATATATATATATATATATATATATATATATATATATGCGCAAAACAACCACTCTGAAAGAATAGAGAAATTCCAAGCGCTTTCGTGACTACTCACATTATCAAGGAACTATGATAGTTCCGATAATGTGAGTAGTCACGAAAGCGCTTGGAATTTCTCTATTCTTTCAGAGTGGTTGTTTTGCATATTCTGAAATCACTTGTTTACTGTGATCTTATTGCATATTATATATATATATATTATATATATATATATATATATATAATTTTATATATATATATATATATATATTATATATATATAATATAATATGGGGTCCACCTCTGGTGTAAATTGTAGGACCCATAGCCTCGGAGAAGTGGACAAAAAGGC